CCACTTTTTTTTGGATGCAGGACATGTGAGCCAGCTCTTCACGCAACATCTTGGGTGTATTCTTTTCGAAGCCGATCATGGGAATTCACCACGGGCACTCACTACTCATCTCCAACTCCTCAATGTACAAAATAACTCATCTTGGAGTACAGAACAACGAACGGAACAAACATAACTGCAAAAGAATAGCACGGCGAGCAGTTCCCGCACGCCGCATCGCACGCTGCATGTCGTGTCGTCTGCTACGGAAAAGAGAAAAAAAAAAAAAAAAACGCACGGTCGGGTGTAGCCACGTGACTTCCGCCACTCACTCTCTTCTCTCCACTTCTCCGACCTCCGTCGGGTTTCGGTTTCGGTTTCGAGCAGTTGCGTCTTTTGGCTTTATTAAAAAAATACGCTACTCTGTTGCAAAATATTAATTGGGTTGTCCTCCGACACCATAATAAAGCGCCTGGCAAAAAATGAAAAAAAATTTTTTTGGGGGGTGTCAGTGTCCCTTTAACGCGCCCATTGAAAGCGTACGACACCCATAGGGGGCGCGCCGCTCCGCCTTGGCAGCTGATTGGCCGCGCCGCCAGTGACAGCGATCACGTAACTTGTCATAGAAAGGCGCTTCCCGCTCAAACCTTTTCTCGCTCAGCGTCTGGGCCACGTCTGCGTCTTCTCGTGGGCGTGTTTCTGTCTCGCTTCCGAGTAAAGGTCTTGACATTCGTAGCCTACCCCCGTTGAACGGTGCCCTGCATGTGTTTCGCGCCGTTCGACCCCCCCCCCCCCCCCCCCCAAGAGTTACTCGGAGCTTGGATACGATCGTATCTCCCGTAGTTTTAAGCGGCAATGACGGCAACACATCCGCCATGTTTTTTTTTTTTTATGCGAAAGCATTAATTGTTTTATGGAGCGAACAGACGTCATCAGCTTTTGAAGCCGCGCAAAACGGCAGTTTACCCTGTGCCAGGGATGGGCAGTATTTCAAATACAAGTATTTGAAATGCGTATTTCAAATACTTTGTGTATTTTGCATTTGTATTTAATTACAAATTGGGTAATGTATTTGACGTGTGTATTGAAATACTAAAATGTGGGTATTTCAAATACAATTCTAATTAAATACAATTTTGTGGGCAAAAATACATCCCTCAAATTTATTGTCACTGTCCAGAGCGGGAAGAAAACTGCGTTCTGCACCGAATGCAGTGTCTCTCAGTCAAGCACAAGCGTTTAGTGACTTTGTGATTAGGGTGCTAGTTCAGGGCAAGAATAGTGACCAAATCGACCTTCGCAGGCATACTGGCTAAATAAGTGCCTGTGACAACTTGTGCTGCTTTCCAGCCTGATTTCCATCCATATTTTTGCCTGGAACATTCTAAATGCGCGGGTCGTCCAGATTTTTGTAACTGGTGGGAGTTGCAACAATAAACAATTCTCTAGCTAGTGCTGCGCGTCTTGGTCGTCCCGGTTCTTTGTTCGTCTATACCAGAATTTAATCGACAAAAAAAAAGCTGCTTGAAGCTCTGTATTTTTTTCACCTATTACGTTCAAGCTGATTAAAATTTTTTTTTTTTGTGATTATATTTCTATTACGTTACTAGAGCCTCGCATACTAACTCCCGAGTGTGCGATGTAAAATTAAAATGAGATACCCAGAAACCCGTTGCAAGTGCCCTGAAGTCGCTGACGGAAATTTTGAGGAATGTATTTGGAAAAGTATTTGGAGGACACCAAATACATTTGGTTGTATTTGTATCTTTTATTTAAATACTTTTCTGGAAATGTAATTAGATTTGTAATTAAATACATTTTTGATGAAGTATTTTGTATTTCGATACATATTTGCATGTATTTTGCCCATCCCTGCCCTGTGCCAATGGTGTAAAGCCTGTTATGTGTAGCAAAAATCTGATGTCATAGTTTCAAGGAACGAGGCTCCTATTGGGTCTCGTGCGGCGTAGTTCCAAGGAACGCCACCAGAGAAGACCTCTCCATGGTGGCGGAGCGCAGCAGCGGCCGGGCCGCCGGTCAGGTGTGCGGGCCTAGCCGCATAGCCCGCCCGGGCAAGCTCCGGAGAGGCTGCACGGCCGAGCTCAGCGCGGCGCGGCCACTTCACGAGAGCGCGCGCTTGGCCGTCGGCCGCAACCTCGCCGGTAGCGAAACGTGATCGTCCACGCGGGTACGCTGTAGACGAACTAAGGGAGCGGAAGAACGACATTCATGCTTTCGCATTCACAACTCATAACAAGTGCTATGGTGTACTCGGAGTTTTTTTCATTTTTATTTATCTGCGGTGGAAGATGCTTCTACGAAGCGTTTGTGTGTTCGACGATCCAGAAATCTCTATGGGGCGACATTCAACAGTGCCAATATTTGATAGAATCTACGTGAGATGTATTTTTCGTTCTCCTTGTTATTAGATTACGTTTTCGCTCTCTGGCAGATCGAATACACGTACTGGGATCGAGATAATCGCGGCGGTTTTCGCCGGTGCATGGACTGGATCTGTGTTCTCAATTACTGGGTCTTGTGTGAAAAAAAAAAGTCGGTGCAGGTAGGGGTTCTTAACGTATTGAACAACGCTTTGCTCAAGTATCCCGACATTGTATTGAAAGCTTGGCTACACTAAACCGGATGTCTATGCCAGTCTGACCGTATTCGTGTGAAATGCTATAGGAGCCGCAACGTTGTGTATATCTTTTCGCACGTTTCCAGTTAACGCGTCAACCCGAGACTCGCTGCGAAAAAGATTCGAAGACAGCGCAAGTGACAAAGACGCAATAGACACCTTTCGAATGTCCGCCCTCTGTTAAAACCCGTGGAATCCCTGCACGATGGCGGACACAAACGCGAGCTCCTTGCGTTCGATTGCACCTCGGCTGGACAAGCCCTCGTGCAATGGGAGCACACGTCGAAGCTACCCGCTCGCGGTATACTTGCACGTCCCGCGATGGTTACGCCATTGTGCGGGTTGTACGACCTTCTATAGATCGGTACGTGACTTCCGAAAGTGTTCTATCATTGGCGTGGCTGAAACTTTCTTTTCTGATGAAAATCTCATGTGGTGTTAAAGTTGCCCTTAGGGGGTTCCTAAGATCGTCTAAATATGGCGATAACTTACTCTTCTGGTGCTAAGCATCATAGAAATCTCAAAATCATGACGATAAGCGGCTAGTTTTTTTTATTAAAAGAGCAATCAAAGATCGCAACACTGTCAGCCAGTAGCGAGGGAAGGATCCTCTCGCCTCCGACCGGAGGAACCGCGGAGTGATATCTCGAATGTGCACGGCTCGTTGCCCAATTAAAACTTGTTGTTGGCTAGTTGGTTCATGATGCAGTCTAGAAGTTTTTTTGCGCGACAGAAGGGACAATCACAAGCGAGTAGACAGGGACAAGCGCACTCGAGCACTCGAGAGCTGACGACCAAACACATCACTCCCCCCCCCCCCCCCCCCCCCCCGCCCCCCACCAAAAAAAAAAAAAAAGAGTTTTTGAGACGACTGTTGGAGTATTCTGTTCCCTCTCCGCAAAAACTTTACATTTTTTTTGTACTTCTCTTACTCGCTTCTATCATGTACAAAAAATATTAACATTTTGAATAACAGCGTTTGCAGTCTTAGCAAAATGTCGCGTTTCATTGATCACATGCCTTTCTGACTGGCAAAACAATGCTCTTTTTATCGCCGGATATGACTTCGATCTTTGATTACTTTTTCGATAGGAGAAATCGGCAGCTCATCGTTATGATATATGAATTTCTAGGATGCTAAGAGCTTACGGAGTGAGTCATCGCCATATTTAGGCGATCTCAGAAACCTCCGCAGGGCCCTGGGCTGTGTTTATGTTGTTTCAGTTGAAATCTTTCAAGCCTTTTGCCAAAGATGAATCGGACAATTGAACCAGATTCATTTCAGCGTGCACATGCAACTGCTATAGTCCTTAGCCGTTAAATATATGCGTAATTATGCTGGTAAATAATTGAGAATTCATCCTAATTACAGGGTTAATCTTACGAGCAGACATCCCTTTAGACTGGGCATCCGACGCCCTGCGCTCGTCAACTAGACCGTGTAAGGGCGAAGGGCCCATGAAGAAGCACACGCAGTGTCAAGTTTAAGGGACATTTACTTGTGCCCACTAAAAATGCGTTGCGTCATTCCTGCGGGGACGTGCAGCATCTGAAGGTACCGCGGGTGGTACTGCAGGTTTCAAAGCCTGCCTCGAAGTGACAGTGCAGGCATGTGAAAACCCAGCAGCGATCTTTCCCACCTTGCGGCGGCTCCCGAAATGAAATGAAACCCGCTGCCACCGCAGAATTTCATCCGGAGTGAATCTTCGGAATGATTATTAAGTATCTTCAGCTTGAACATACCGAGGGTAGCCTTCTAGCATGCTGTCCACAGTCTGGAACGCCGCGCTTCTTTATATCACTTATCGGGCAAAGAATAAAAAAAACAACAAGAAAAAAAAAACAAGAAAAAAGGACATGTTTTTTGAGGGAATAATGGAATAAGCCTTTTCACTCCACTTGTTCCGCGTGTGTACACCGCCACTCGCTGCGTGCTCTAATGTGATGCGTTCATTGCAGCGAAAGTCAATATTGCGGCGGTATCAGCTACAAATGGATATTGACGGACTGAAAGCGTACGAACGAGACCCTAACATTAGTACCTCGCATCGATTGGAAAACACCGAGGCTCCGAAAACACGAACCACTTGGAAGCACTTCCCTTCACGCGGCGGAGCGATGATGGAGGTCACGCGAGAACCCGAGCGGACCGACAGACGTGCACACTTCCTCCGACCTCAAAGGAGAGTTTGACGTCACGCGGGCAAACAACACTCCCAGACACAGGCACGCACTGCGGTTCTTGGAAACACGAGCGGCCGCATCCGGCATCGCGCTTGCACAACCGCGTAGGCGCCAAGAATGCATTGCGGTTAAAATACTTCGCTTCGCGCGTCGGATTTTTCCGTAAAAGTACACAGCCGGTCCTCCCGCCCACACGCAGGTGACGTCGCTCTCGTGCGCCGCCGTCGGGTTCTGGGTGGCGTACACCAACAAGGAACTGCTCTCCAAGCCGCACCTGACCAGCTGGCACGCCTGGGCGGGCGCGGCCGCTCTCTGCCTGTCCGGGACCACGGCCGTCCTGGGGCTCGCGACCCTCTGGAAGCGGGTCCTGGCACCCCGGACGAGCCGGAGCGCGCACGTCTTCCTGGCGGCCCTCTCGCACACCCTCGCCGTCGGCGCGCTCCTCTCCGGACTGCGGTCGGCTTACTTCGACGCCCTGGTGCCAAGCGTCGTGCCTAAACTCTGCCTGGCGGCACTTCCGTGCGCGTCTCTCGTCGCCGTCTTGTCGCAGACCCTTCGCCTCTAAATAAAGAGCGGTGTCCTCCCGGCTCCGGAGCTCTCTTTCGCGTCGGTTCCGTCGGTCGCGGGAGCGCATTAATTGTTTCCCGTGCCTGCTCACAACTCACGTCCGTCCGTGACCTAGCGGCGTGGACCGAAGGCGGCGCGAGGCCAAGCTGGCGCGACGCCAGCCGGCCGCCCGTGCACGCTCTGCACCAGCGTCTTCTACCTCCGCCAGACCGTCTTGTCTGGTCGGGCTCCTGAGTCACTGCCGACGCGTCGTCGTTGTCCCTCGGCAAGACGGTGGGCGATGGCTGCGCTGCGATGGCTCGTCCTGCTCTTGCTGGCGACTGCCGGACCGTCGGTCCAGGATACGGGGTCAGTGGTCGCTCGCGGGCGGGCCTTGGGGTCGCGTCAAGGGCGGTGTGGTGTGTTTCGTGCGCAGGGTGGTGCGGCTTCGAGACGTGGTGCCCGAGGATTATGACGTCATGCGACCACCTCGGACTGTTCAAGGTGAGTGCGGTTGACTCTATGGACATCGATCTATTGACCGATTAATGCATCGATCAGTTGGCTGACTGACTGATATCTGTTAGGTGAAAGAAAATTCCGGCAACGCTCGATGTCTTCGAGTGTTTAGTGCGACGTGTGTAGAGTTTAAGAAAGAGTGTGGAAACAGGTGAGCTGGTTGACGTTACACATAATTGAAGAAACCGGAGACGACGGACGAAGAAGGGGTCAGATACAAAATGTCTCTGACGCAGCTACTAAACTTTATTGACATAACTGTTTATATATCACCTCTCACTCACACGTCTCCCGGGATTTGCACACGTTTTTCTGACCTTCTACCGCGGTACAACGCGTCATTACCTCAAAGGTATCGACGAGAGGAGGTTTTTACCACGGTTGGAGGTCACAGAGACATGTGCAAATTCCGGGAGGCGTGTGTGTTGTTTTGAGTGTAAAATGAGCACGGTGAATTAAATTAAGGTAATGACGCCTTGTGCCATCGTGGAAGGTTACAAAGACGCGTGCGAATTCCGGGAGAGGTGCGCTTATGAGATGATATATAAACGGCTCTGTCAATAAAGATTAATAGCTGCGTTTGAAGCGTTATGTGCCCTCCCCCCTCCCACCCCCCTTTTTCGTTCGTCGTCTCTGGTTTTTTAAAGAATATCTGTGTTGCGCTGATGCGTTGAATTCAGAAGAGCGAGGTGTTACGTGCTCGGCCGATGATGAGAGTGAAGTGTGTTGAGATGCACGATACACCTGTTAAATAACATATAGGTTCCAACATTTTTTAAATGTAAAATGCATAATCTAGTGGCTGCACCTTGTTTACTCAGTCAAACCGAAGAAATCGTGTTGAAGATCACTCGAGACTCTGGTAAAAAATTTGAAACTTGGTAGAAGGAAAAAGACACAGTCCACCTGAAAACTTGCGTTCACCCACGACTGTAAAATGAGCCGGCTTGAAACCGGCTGGTAGTTTTCGGAAGCTTAACATTTTTTCTTTCAATTTTTCGACGCGATCAAAGGCAATGAGTCTGAAAGTCCTGCACCGATGGCTTGTCAGGGCTGAGCAGTCGAACTGGTCTTGCACAGATTCCTGCCGTCCTTTTCAGACACACATAGTCCCGAAGGCAACCGCTTCTGCATGCGGGTATGCACTGATGTATGGCCGTTGGAGAATTTACAGTGGCTCTTGGGCAACCGCATCAGTTTGCACCCACCTGGGGCACTAAACTCGTGAAGCACAAAGTTGGAGCCGAAAGTTGGCGGAGCGCGCCGATCGGACGCCGGCGAAAAAAGCGCCAAGTCATCGTCGTGATTGTCCAATCGGTGCGCTCCGTCAACTTCGGCCCCAACTTCGTGTCTGACGAGCTTAGCGACCCTGGGCACTGAATGCGGGGCGCAAGTTTCTTCTGCTGCTTGCTCAGGAATTTCGATGACGTCAGAACGCCGAGCTCTTATTGGCTGATTGAAAAACAAAATAGTGGGTAGGCCTCAAGGTACCCACTATTCTTTCAATCATAACCAATCGGAGCTCGGCACCATTTTGACGTCACCGCAACTCCTGCGCAAGATGCAGACGACTTGCGCTCCGCACTGCGTTGCATTCTGAACGCTGGACACAACTCGGTATATCGAGTAAAATTGTTCACTTAAAGTTGCAGTATACTGAATGATATTAGTGCCTCGCGTTTCGTTTCCATTGTGTCTCGCCGCATAAGTTAATTGTAGACGCGTTGCTCCCGATGGTTCTGGCCATGCGATTCCCGCTCTTCAGGGCTCGAATGCTCCTAGGGAATCTAGCTGTCGCACCACTTGCGCGATCTCACGGGGCAGCCTAAGTTGTGGATAGAGGAATGCTTCTCCATGTTCATTGACAGACCGAGAAATGCGGGGCTTATTGAGTCCCGAGCAGCTTATTATCGTTCCAAGGCAACTCAGATTGTTGCACAGAGCCGACAGGAACGCTAAAGATGGCGGATATAAAATAAACCACCCCTGGAGACGGTATAGCGCACAAGCGCTTAGCGGTGCTGTGACGTGGACGCAGTACGAGAGAGAGAGAGAAAGTACCGCTAGCACACACCAGGAGAAGTACGATACGGCAGGGAAGAAAGAAGAGGCGGAGCTTGCAGGTAGGTTTTCCCAGAGACACGAAGAGAAACGGGGCAAAAAGAGCTGACCTTGCCTCCTGCGTTTGGAGTACTTCACCTTCGGATTTAATCGTCCTACAAAAAAACAAAAGCCAGCGGGCGGTGAGGTGTTCTTTCCTGCAGTTCTCGCAGGAAACAATCTATCACCGCGAAGAAATACTCCTATTCTTTAGGGCTGCACACTAATTAAATGTATATAACCTTTCACTAGGCGGTAATTAGTCGATGAATAATTGGGTAATACCTGTAATGTGAAGACAGTTTGTTAAAGTAATGCGAAATTATAAATGTATTGGGTCTGTCGTCGAATAATTTCAAAAATCGCAAAAAATAGGGTGGCTGAGATAAGAAAAACCTATCCGAGACCCAACTGCTAGCCACGGTCGACGCGAGCTATGACAAAAACATATTAATTCTCTAATACCTTTTTAAGTAGTGAAAATAATGATATTGTTCAAATTAGAAACTTTTCGAGCATAGTCGAAAACTATTGCATTCGCTAATTTCAGAAAGCTATAAAGCAAGTGCAGCGATTTACGGCGTTAAAGAAACGTTTGATTTGTATACGCATTTGGGTTCCGGTTTCTACCGGAGCGCATTTTGGCGCCAAGATCCACAGCGGCCCCAGATTTGACCACTGAGGCACTACAGTATTCGAAACGTACGAAGTAGAAAAACACCCTTCATAACCGCATTCGACAATCTCATTTGTATGAGAGATTTCTGTGTCCAATAAACACAGATGAATCATACAAGATATATAACAACATATAAGAAACTTGTGAGAAGTTTCTTATAAATTTGTTATGTGGTTCTCATATGTTCTTATATATCTTACACGTTTCTTATATGATTCTTATATGCTCTTAAAGTTATCTTGTATGATTCATTGGTGTTTATTGGACACAATAAATTTCTTATACAAATGGCTTTTCACTAGGGAAATCACTTTGTTTGGTCTTCCACCTAGATAACTTTACAAGAAACTGCAAAACGAGCTTGTCATGCCCAATGCCAACAACTTTGGCAAGTAACAACTCATGATCTACGAGATGAAAAGCTCTAGTTCAATAGAAATAAATATTGTCAACTTGTCCACGGGAAATTACCTTAGGTAAAGTGTGTTCCACTTCCAAGAATGATACAATGTTAGTCTCCACTAGCGCCCTTGACTGAGCGCCTTGCTGGTTTAGACAAGCGATTTGAAATGGAGGTACATATGCTTATACATCGCGTTTTCAAATACCCCAGAAAAAGAGCAAAGAAGAGAAGTTGGTCAATAGTGACTAACGCAGTCAGTGCGAACATACTTATGTCTAAGTACAACTGCTGCATTCTTCCATCCTTGAGGAAATACATTTGGCTCTAGGGATATGCTAAAAATATGGAGCAACACCGGGGCAAGAATATCCCGACATTCCTTTAAATAAAATTACGGATTCCGTCCCAACCGCAAATATTTTTCGGAGCGAGCTCATTAATTGGAGAAAGCACATATTTGAGCGCTAGCTTCGGCACTGTTAAGCTGCGGGTAGGTTCAATGGGAGCATCGGTTTTAACAGCGCACGGAGTAATCGAATTACTGACGCAGGAAAAGAACGTAGCAAAAATATCACAGACATCGGACGGCTCAGATATATATCCAGGGTCATCTTGTAATGCGATTGTTTTCGATCGACTAGATGTGCTCATCAGAATACAGAAGACACATGTGTTTCATATTCAATTGATGTAGTTCGCCGTTTTGTACTTCGAACGATATACAATTCCTCGGGAAAATCGGTATGATACAATATGAAATAACTGCTTACGGGCACTATGCCAAATATCTGCAAATAAAAATCGAAGCTATTCAAGAGAAGATACTTAGAAAGGTAGGACATGATAGCGAAGAAAATCTTTTTAATATATATATATATTTTCACAGTTATATACCACGCCTTCGGTCTCCCGCCACCATGCCATATATATATATATATATATATATATATATGCGGACAGATTTAGGAGTGTTGTGCTTTAGTGATTAATTGAAGTATGACATAATAACGAAACATTTTCTTAAACAATAAACGTAAAATAGAAACAGTTAAGGAAAGAAGGTGACTTCCAAGCATAATATATGTAGAACCATTCATAAAAACGAGATATGGAGAGGAAACAAGAAAATACTACGTGCCTAAAATGTTTTAACGATGTGCCTGAAGATGTAAATAAATGAAAAAAAATCCTAAAAATAAACTAACTAAAATGACCGAATGAGAAAAAAAAAGAAAGGTAACCAAAACGGCAACTAATTATAAAGAAAAGCAGCATCAATGAAGCCGACCACCCCTCCGACCGTGTCTACTATTTTAGATTGTTTTGTTATTGTGATCAATTATAATTTCTTCCACCTCAGATCGTAAATAAACGTTAAAACTACCCTTAATACTACACTTTTTTTTTTTTTTTGCTTTTGGTTTTTATTTGTAGAACAGAGTTGAACGTGTATACTATGACAAAGAAACTATGGGCATACCAGAGGCACAAATTTCACTTTAACATGAGTGTGTGTTTACGTGAGTATGAACCTGCCGCGCCCAACGCACAAGCCTCATTGGCTTATCTGGGCGCCAATTGTAAGATGTTAAAAACTGGAAATAAAATGTATGTATGTATGTATATACCTCGCGTAGTTCCACAGAGTATTTAAATCGCGTTTTAAACTGTATCCAACTGAACTTCGTGAGTACTCCCGATTACGCCGAATCAACTTTTCGGCCAATGAAGGAAACTCTTTCAACAGATCCTGCCATTTCTTTATGCCACGAGCGTTGATATACCCGAGAGAGCGATTATCCGCTAACGTTC